AAAACCTTACCATTAGACGATTTTATATGGAGTCATAGGCGGAGATCGGAGAGACTTGAATTATTAATTGAATTTATATTTTATTACAACTGGTAGTATTAATATTTTTTTGCGATTCATAATGACGTGATACCAAACATACATTATAAGAAATAAATATACACAAACACTGAATATTGAGAACAAAATAAATATATTTTTTAGGCAACAAGTAATATTCCTATGTACGCATTATGATTGAACAGCAAAACAAATTATGCATTCTTCTAAAATAGAATACAACAAGTCAAAAATATCTGACTGAATAGAAAAATATAGGAAAACAAAAAGTAATTTCTTGATGAAATAACCCATAAACAACACATAGAATTAGACTTTCTACTGAGATACTAAAAGCCACAAACCAATAGTATAATAAATGAATATCTAAAAATTCTAAAAGGTAGCCAATCTAGTATAGTTTCAATCCTGATTAGAGTCATGATCACTGTCTGAGGAACTGTCATTGCTATCACTTTCACCTCCTATGTTGATTATTATTTCTTCCTGTATTTCTTGAATGAGACTGTCTTTTTCCCAATATTCATCTTCAATTTTTATAACATGTCCAATAACCTTTTGCCAGTCACTGGCACTTACTGAAGCGATGGCCTTATTAGAAATTTCATCTAGTTTTTTTATAGTAAATTCGCCGCTTGTATTATGGCTTCTAATGAAAAATTTTACTTGTGCCCAAATCATCTCTATGGGATTAAACTGACACATATAGGGTGGCGTTCGAAGTGGGGTGTGTCCGAAACTTCTTATTAAATTATCTATCTTATAATTTTTCTCATCAGATGGTGGCCTATGTAGACAAGCTATTTCATAAAGCTCCATTTTTTTAGCATTAGGATCATGCTCTATACCTTTTTTGCTCAACCACGTGATGATGTCTCTTTTTAGAGAAGATCTAGTTGGAGGCTTGTCTTCCAAAGCTGAATGGTAAGGTGCATTATCCATTATTATAATACTATTAGGAGGAATGTTAGGAAATAGTTTTTCAGTAAGCCACTTCGTGAAATTTTCTTGGTTCATTTGACCGTGATAATCACCAGTGGCACAGCCAGCCTTGAAAATGAGACAGGCTCCAGGAACAAAACCATCTTGCGAACCCGCATGAACAATTATAAGTCGTCCTGGAAATGAATAAATAGCCTCATTTTAGTGTTATTTTAAGTTTGCCAACACCTTTTTGAATCACTATGTATAAAAAACATATTTTTGAGAAAAAAATACTTGCAAGGGATTATGTATTCAATTAGACAAATTAAATGAGCACTTATTAAGAATATTCCAAAATTGAGAAAAATGTATAATAAGCAAAATCGAGGTGAAAGAAACTTTATTACCTGTAGAACTTATATTGCTCAGGACACCCATAATTTCTTCGCTTTGCCAGCATTTCTTGAAAGTGAGGTCATTATCAACCCAAGTTTCGTCCAAATAAATAATATGCCTTCCTTCTTCCCGGAACTTTTTAATAGACCTAAGATACTTGTATCGCCAATGTAAAATACTGGGTCTTTCCATTAGTAATTTCCTTTTGTTGTGGCATTTACGCCAGTAAAATCCTTTTGCTTTTAAAAGCAGCCTCAACGATTCTTTACCAAATGGAAATTCCATTTCTTCCTTCAGTTTGATTAGAAGTTTACTACAAGTAGGTACCACTTTAAAATCACAGTAAAATTTTTCTATCATTCTCCGAATAATGGAAAAATCGACTCCATCAATTTTTTGGATCACAGAAGGGCGTGATCTCTTTTTTCCGGGAGAAGCTAAAGGCTGTGTGGAGGTTGCATTTTGCCTGTCTTTATCTTCTTTTCTAATTTTACTTATAGTTCGTTCACTAACACCCGTATAATATGCCGCCCTTGCATTTCTAGCTACCAGTGGATAAACGAAAGTATTGTTAGCCGCTTCTGCATCGCAAGCACGTATCACGTTTGCTATTATTTCCCTTGCCTGGCTGTGAATAACTTTCCCATGCTTGAATTCCATTATCACCACTAAACAGTAAATTATATTTTCAAAGTATTTGCCAACTGCCTACGCCTATGGGAGTAGGTTTATAAATGACCGTGCCATCGGCACGTTATTCTAGTTTCAGATAAGATAAGAGTTTTGGACCAATCAGCGACCGGATGTTTACCTGCGGCCTGGGTTTTCCAGCTACGTTGCCAAATTCAGCGGAACAATTCTATATCTTAAATATGTTAATATGTATGGACCGCATTTTATGTAGAACATCTGACAACTTCGCAATTTTTTGTCCGCATTCTTTCGGCTTGCAATCTTTCGCTGGTCCAACTATACATGGGAAGATGGTGCCGCACCGCCTGCTTACGCTGCGCCGGCTTCGCTGCTGTAGCGACGCGCGATGGTGTCCAGCGCGACGCGGCCGCTGGTGAGAAGAGGGACTATCGTTTGTTGCTGGGTGGCCGTTGTTGCTAGAATCACCGCTGTTATAAACTCACTGGATAATGTCCACCTGTATACGGTTTTGCTAATATATTTTTCCATCTCTTTTTCCTATCATTTCTGCTAAATCAATAAATATTTTCTTTAACATGCGGACAAGTTTAAATAATTGAAGGTTACCATAGCTACAAAGCCATGGTTCCATCATTAAATTTTTCTGAAAAAAAACTTTCTCCCATTAATATTATGCAAGGTTTATTTTATAAACCTTCCATTCACTGTTCTAGACGAAAAATCACCAATTATTAAGTGATAATAAAAATAATCGAAGATTATATACGCGCTTTTCTAAAATAAACAACTTGCAACAAAACCGCGGTTAAAACCAACGCGTTCAAGCGATTCGAATGACTGACGTCATCAACCCGTGTGTCATCTTAAACCATATTATAACCGCGGTACACAATACAGAAATTTTGGTTATTCGCTTGGATTTGATTATAGCTTGTTCAAATTTTGACAGTTGTCATATAAAAGATGACAGTTGACGGCAGCAGTGTTGCATTCAAAGTTACTGCGCGGGAAATTAAAAAAGTCACTGACTTATCAAACTGCCCTCTAACTCACTGTACAAAACATCTAACCTGACAACATACCTAATCTACAATTCAACAACACATGACAGAACTCAAATTGTGACCTGCCGCACAATACAGGGTGTTACAATGTATTATTGTAAGTATCGATTGTCCCATTTTAATGAATGCAGTTTAAGTAATATAAGCAGATATTTTGATCGCAAAGTTAATTTTAAGTTAAGCGACTGATTTATTATATCGGCTTGTATGAAGCGTAGTTCCTGGCAAGGCTGCTTGAAAGAGTTTTATGAAACTTCAATGTAGATTGTAGACAAATACTGACTGACTCTGTAACACCAAAAATATTTTATCAGTTACCTAATAAAACGAAGTGTTATCTAATATCTTGCTTGTTTAATTTATCCAATAAAAAATAGCCTGTTAAAATTTAGTAAATCAGACCAAATGATTCCTGTAGAAAACTGGCAGAGTTATCCTTTGAGGTGTTCAGATAATCGGTGGGGCAGAGTGGGAAGGATGCGGTTTTTGAAAATTGATTCTTTTAATAATAATTGCATTACATGGTAAACGTTGTATACTTTTATAACTTAAATGTGAGTAAAGTTTTGGACACCCTTCTCTATAAAGTATAAAAAATACATCCGCGAATTTTCAAAAAATCATACTCCGACAGAGTTTCTCATTAATTTCTGAAACGAATGTATTTTGTATCCATGTGTATAGGAACGTCACACAATTTTCAAGATTTCTATGAGACCTGACCCTAAGCCGTATCGAAAAATCATCATTCTAGCAACGTTCTACCAACTTCGCTCACCTTTAAGCCTTGAGTTGCGGTGCGCATCGCTCGTCGGTCTGTGAGCTATCGACGCCTGGCGTTCCGACGGCAGTAGCGTCGAGACGCTCGCACGAGGTAGTAGGCCTTGGCCAAACAAGTCACGATCTTCGGAATGGCGTGCCGACGGACGCACGCGATGCGCGAATTACGTGCTGATTAATTGGTTGATCTTTGGCGTTATCTTTGGGGATTGGTAGGAGAGGGGGCTAATGACCAAGGTATGTAATGTTATTGAAACTGAATATTGAAAATGTACGAAATTAAAAAAATGTGAAGTCGTCCGAAATGATCCAAAACCCAAAATTCTGAAGCTTTCGCATCATAATTTACGGCAAAGCGGTTAGGGTAGTCGTTGTGTTTTGTGACAATTTACAGAAACGCCGTTCTTACACGGCATAGGTTATGCAAAGTTTAAATTAAGTCCACCGCTTTATTCGACATATAATCCCTGTAAAATTTTTTTATGAAAAAATGGCGTCCAGTATATTAGTGTATAGTGCAGTGGTCGCCAACCTTTTCAGTGTGTTGAGCTACTTTGTTAATTTTGGAATAAACAGTGAGCTACCTACATAGTCGTAAGCAATGTACGAGTAAGCCAACTTGAATGAAATTATACTAATACTAATACACTTTAATAAACTAATAATTAATATATACTACATAACACTACATCCATTCCTACCAATCGTAGGTGTTTGACAAATAAACAAAATTTTTCGTCGGCAACAATGGCATGTCACATACGATTTAATAAAGGTAACTGAAAATAAAAAAAACAACGTACTATTTTAAACAAAAACACGTCCAGACAAAAAAATGCGTGTTCAATGACACACAGACTCACTGACAATTTTTTTAATGTTTGGAGCATAATTTGATACCGTCAGTCATAGACAATTATCCAAATGTTCATCTGTAAGTTGATAATGGTATTTGTTTTTGAGAAACTTCATATTTTATTCACACAAATACGTTGAACTAAATAACGCTTTCACTTTCAAGGCAACACGACATGAAACTGAATATTTATCTTTACTTACTGAAGGCCAGATACATTTTGTATTTGAGACTAATGATCATAAATCATTTTGAAACGCAATCACTTCCATTTTTGTCGCAACGATGTCTTCGCTAAAATTCTGCGTAACAGAAGTTGCAAACTGTTGGATATCAATTTCCATTAAAGGTGAAACAAAAAATTGCGCAACTGTAGCAATTTCGTTGAAACCCTTGAAACGATTTTTGAAGTTATTCTTCAAGCTAGAGACTATTTCTACATGATCTTTACTGTCATATGGTTCTAATGGACTTTGAGATATCCTTTCTGAAAGAACAGGAAAATGCCTGGTATCGCCATCGATTAAGTTTTGTTGCCAAAACACTTTTATATCAGAAATCATTTCTGCTAGTTCTTTGTCTCTCCCCTGAAACTGCAGATTATGCTTATTTAATTTTTCTGTAATATCCACAAGAAAACCAAAATCTATAAGCCAGATTGAATTTTCCAGTTCCGGAATCCGTTCATTACGTTGTTTGAAAAAATGAACTATGGCAGATATGATGTAGAACGTTCCACCACTCGTCCCCTACTTAACTATCGGACATCAGAGTGAAGAAGTAGTTCCCTGTTTTGACAGTCGATTTCACCGGCCAAGGTTTTGAATAATCTGTTTTGTAACGCTTAAGCTCTAATCTTGTTCACGATTTTTACTACCAATTTCATAACATTGTTTAGTTTTAAAAAATGTCCACATAATGCTTGCTGATGGATAATGCAGTGGTAACAGATAAATTGCGGAAAACTTTCATCTTTACGACATAACCCTACGAGACCCTTATCACGACCCACCATAACTGGAGCGCCATCGGTTTTCAAGCCTACCACTTTCGATATTGGAATTTTCTCAGCAGAAATAATATTCAGCAGTCTGTCCTTTTAGTGGAATAAACTCCGAAAGATCTTTAATCGTAAAATAACTAAAAACCATCCTGTCGAACACGGTCATCTGAGAGGTGTCAACGACATCTGTGTATCTTCCAGCTGCAGTGAAAAATAAACACAGTTATCAAAGTCATTTCTTAACTGAAAAACTATATCATTGCTCATTACTTCTACTTGTCTCATCATTGTATTAGCAGAAAGATGAATAGATTTTATAGCAGACACTATCTCGTCTTTATTTCTAAAGTTGGCAAATAATGAATCTGCAGCTTCTAAAAACGCCTGTTTTATCATTTCCACATCTTCGTCTGCGAGGATAGTCTTCTGGTAACACGGCCTGCACTCGTTGTACATAGTAGGGATAAAGCAAATTTTCCCGTAGGATTCTATAGACTATGGTATGCGATAGTCCTACGAGGTGGCTTAATTCCCGACTTCTGATTTCGTTGATTTCCACGATATTTAAAATATGTTCTTTCTGCTCTACAGTACCTGACTTTCACGAGTGCGAATATTAGTGGGATCTCGAAGTCTTTGTTACACTTGCACAATTGTCCTTCTGTTTGGGTGTACCCGTTGGCGAAATCTGTCGCGATAAATTTGAGCTGCAAGATTTGAATTCTGACGAGCTTCACCGTAATCTAACAACGTGTCGGCGAACTCTTGATTCGAGAACAATAACTAACCACTATTACCATTTGCGATCGGTTGCCGGTTCGATAAGAGTGATGAATGACCGACGCGCTGTTGTCATATGTGTTTTAAATATTTAATTTAATGAAACTTACTTACTAGCTACTAGCTACAAATTTTGGCTTAACTTAGAAAACCTTAATGTCATTTGTGTATTAATTACCCAATTTAAAAACGTTTTAGGTTAGGTTATAAAAATTAGTAAGATAAAGCACTTAAAGATGTAAACTATAAAGCTATTTAGACAAACATCTATTGACTTATGGACCATGGGTCATATGAACCTTTTGACCTATTTTGACCCCCCCCTCTATTACCAATTTCAATAATGACTTTCATAATAAACTGCTGTCTTGATTCGAATGGCCGCGAAAGCCTTAACCAATTTGTCAGACTACCATAATGTTTACATCCATTATTTACAGTTTCTTTAATTTTTGTAGAAAATACCGAAGAGAGAACTTATTGAACCTATGAATACTTCTGTTCCACGTTGTGAGATCTGTAACAAATTGACTTAAAAGGATTATTTGGAGAGGTCGTTTCGAAAATATTCTAATACATTGATCTGGCTGTGCTTATCAAATAGAAGATTTGGTTTATGCCCATAAAAGAGTCTAAAATTATTTTTTTACGGAGTTGTGATTTTTCATTGAGTTCGTCACGCGATTTGTACAACTGGAAGAACTTCCGCGAAATTGTCCGGTTTCATGATTTTTAATACGAGAAATGTTTTGAAAAGATTCTTAGTTTAGTGGTAATTTTGATTCAAAATTTGCCAGCTCACTGCATTCCAAAATTTCCCTGTACATTTTTTATTAAATATAGAGGCTTTCAAAACGGAGCCTGACAGCATTCATTTTCCTTTATAAGTAATGACCTGATTCAATTAATTACCAATTAGGCAATTATTATACAATGTCTATCCGTATACCTGTGTTAAGCTAAAAGCGTAGAGATTATAATGGGGCAAACCTCAGTCCCACCCTCTAAATAATTTTGTAGCCATAAATAATATAGGAGGCTGCTAGGAGAATTGATTAGATTGAGTGAAGCCCAGACAATGCTTCCTTTGAACTGATTAAATCACAAATAATATCTATAGGCATCTACTTATTTCTCATGCAAGAACGAGGGAGAACAGTAATCGCGCAAATGTTTGACTTTGGAATATCAGGTAACAAGCTTTTGAGTGTCTTATGATGTCTCTCTGACTATAATGTACCGGATATTGATACTGAACAAAAAATAGTTATACGTTACGAGGGATGTCTTTTAAGTTTTGCATATAGAGACATAGTAGGCTGCGCGGATTGAACGTCAGTACTGAATCTTAACGTCACTCTTTAGTAAACTTAAATTCAAAGTTTCACAACGATACGTGCAGTGTTTCACTACAGTGAATTTTTAAGTGTCACCAAGTCATTAGAAAAATGGAACTCAACCGAAAACATTTTCGTGGCATAATTTATTACAACTTTTAGAGACAATTATCGCAACAAGAATGCCTGGCTGAGTTACTGCCTGTTTTCGGCAACGAAGCGCCACAACAGTCGACAATTTACCGTTGGTATGGAGATTTAAAACGTGGACGGGTGAGTCTTAGCGACGATTCCAGGGTGGATGTACCAAAAACGGCAGTCACCCAGGAAAACGTCGATGCTGTGCGCAAACTCATTATTGAAGATAGACATGTGACATATCGCGAGATTGAGGCGTCCTTGAAGATCTCAAAGACCTCAATTCAAAAAATTTTACATGAAGAATTAGGAGTAAGAAAATTAGTTTCTCTGTTGACTGAAGAGCAGAAAGCAGCCAGGGTTAATTGGTGTCAAAAAACGCTTGACCGTTTCAATTCCGGAAACTCAAAAAATGTGTACAGCATTGTTAGTGGTGACGAATCGAGGATTTACTGTTATGAACCAGAAAATAACAGTCGGCTGTTTGGGTGTTCCAAGGTGAAGAAAAGCCAACAAAAGTCATCCGTTCTCGCAGTGTTTCGAAAAATATGGTCGCGACATTTGTGTCAAAAGCGGGTCATATTGCAAGAATTCCTATTAATGAGCAAAGCACTGTTACTGCGGATTGGTATACCACCATTCATTTGCCAAAAGTCATCACCGAGCTTCGAAAAATCAACCCCGAAAGAAGAATCATCCTCCACCAAGACAACGCAAGCTCGCACACAGCCCAAAAAACAAGGCAGTATTTAACGGAAGAAAACGTGGAATTATTGGACCATCCTCCATATAGTCCCGATCTAAGTCCTAAAGATTTCTTTACTTTCCCGAAACAGACTGCGTGGTCAAAGGTTCCAGTCACCAGAAGAAGCAGTTGACGCATTCAAAAATGACGTTTTGGAATAAGTGGAATAAGTGCTTCGAAAATTGGTTCGAGCGCATGATATGTCGTGTCGTGTCTTCGTGGAGAATACTTCGAAAAACAATAAATTCATTTAACACTACCTACCGTGTTGTTTTATTTCCATATGCAAAACTTAAAAGACATCCCTCGTATAAGAAACTGATCCGTAGTAATGAAGAATGTAAGTGAAGATCTGCGAAGTAGTACCGCCTCGATCAATGGAAAATAACCTACTTCTAATTTTCAAAAATGCTATTTTTCTTGTTACATAAGGTTTTCTGTTTTACATGCACAAAAAGGAGAGGAAGAAAAATATACTTCAATCAAGATTATCTGTGGCCTGCAAAAAAAAAAATGCGGACATAGATTCAAAAATTCAAAACCTGCAAAAACAGAAAGACTGTGTCATTTTTTCGGCATTATGTCGATAAGTTTCGTTAGAACTATCATACTGCGACACCCTCGGACCGAGTAACAATGAGACACCCTTCTAACGTCGAGGCAACCAGAATCACGCAATCGTTTGTCACGCATCGAGAAATATAGACCGTCATCTACCAGTTTCGACGAGGACGCTGGAAAACACTCGCACGCCTCGGGACTTTCGATCCGAAGATAAATATACGTACAGACGGCAGGCAGAGAGAGAGCCAACCGACAGCGAATACATGGGTTAACAGCGCGGATTTCCATAGTCCAGTCGACATGGTCATAGATTTGTGATAAGTTAAATGCTAGCCTTGTAATAAATTAGAGTGTGAGTAAGAAATTAGACTTTAAATAGTGAAAATGGTGTTTTCGTTATAGCGGTAACAGGCATGGGATTAGTGAAGTACATGTCACATAATATCTCATTATCGAAATTTTTCACGACTTCAATACTTCCACGCCGGTGATGTAGGAGTAAAAACACCTCTAAATGAATAACTCATTACAAAAACATCACTATCGCAATGAGCGGTCGTTGAATCTAACGTGTTATGTAAAAATCTCTAAACATGGACTAGTCCAACTCTGCCACAATTTGCAGAACGATATGATATACAGTCATAGTGAGTAATAATAATAAAATTTGAAATATGCACAGTGGCAAACGAAACTACGAATAAATATCTAATAATACCAAAATACTTTCAAATTTCGCTTTTGTATATTTTCCGTCTTCTTCGTCATATCGGACCTTGTTTGTATGTTTCTGAATTCTAAACTCCGCCATGTTTTCTGACCCCAAGAGCGAGGAAATTTGTTTTTCTGGTATGGTAATAGAACGTAATAAATTGATTCTTTTTTCTATTCGGCTTAGCTGTGGGACCCTTATCAAGTGGGTGGCATACTTTAGTGGAAGCTTAAGTAGCAATTTTAAAATAAAACCGGCAAAGAGGAGGGTCTGCTTCAATCCAAATTACTCTACCTACGTGTATCCCGAATTAAAGTTTCAGAGCGGTATTACGACTAAGCGGTTTCCTAAGTAAATGGGTAATTAGCTTCAAAATTGTGGAACCGTGTTATGTAAGATATTAAAGAATGATTTACTTTAATCAAGGACAAATCAAAATTCATCCATCAGCAAAAGTGAAAAAATAAATTTCCAATACAACGAACTTGTGCCAAAACATGTGTCACATGTGCTAGCTTGTTGGAATGAAAACTCTCTGAAACATGTTGTGGAGCAAGCGCTGGATACAAAACAAATGTGCTGGAAGTTTGCAACATGTTGCGCCACATGTGCCTGGTACATGTGTCTACAGTTTGTTGCATTGTATACGTACCTGAAGGGGATGCTGGTATAGTATTCAGACAGCGATTTCATCGTCGCCAATTTCAGCTCGCTAACTTTAACCGTCCAAAAAATAAATTAGGAGAAAGACCATTTGAAAAGCGCTTTATGCTCATGAGTTAGCAAAGACATTGAACTTTGAGTATGTATTTTTACCGAGGAAAATGAAGCCGGCAAAATATTAGCTTCTATATAGACAGACCGGAACAACCTTCCATATTTTGCAATTTCATAAATGAACGTGTGTACACAGATAAAATGGAATTAAATTCCCCAGACCGAAAATATTATCTATGGAATAAAGATAAACTCTCGAAGAAAAACCATGTTATCCCTAGGGACAGCAGAAATAATTTAATTAGAAAACGTACCCTGCTTCGACCTGCCTTAGGGTTTCCACACATTTGATACAGGGTGGCTAATATATGACTAACTGATTTGTTTCACCAAGATATTTCAAGTGAATTGAAATAGTTTTAATTTTTTTATTATTCTTTTTCGAAAATCACATGCTTATGGATTAGATAATCGAATTTTAGGAGCCACATAGTTTTGCACTATCATACAGCTCAAGAAATGATGCATGTTTTGCGAAAAATGTTTTTGGGAGTTTAATCTCCTTGCTGGGCGATAATAATAACTAACAATAATGATAATGCTCCATTCATCCTGTACATAGATAACAAAGTGATATACCACAAGTCAAAATGGAACTAATGCACATAAAAATCTCATCTTCATCTACAAGTCCCCAAGATCACCATATTCAATGCCTTCAGACATATTCGAATGCACATTCCTAAAAAATTGGTCTATGCCAACAAAGCACTACAGAGCAGCTGAAGAACAATATTCGACAAACTATCCGAAATATTCCTCCCGGAATCTATCAAAAAGTGAATAGATATCGTAATCACGATTGTGAACCTTTCAGAGGCAGGAGCTTCTTTTTATTCTCGCATAACTCCTAGCTGATAGATGAACATTAAGATAGAAAAATTGAATCCATTCCATTTCATTTAAAGGCATTGTAGAAATAAACCGGTCAGTTATTATATATTGGCAACCCTGTACATCTGATACAAAAACACGAACGACGCTCTCGACATACGGGCGGCCTGTTTGCTTTTAAAATATTAGGACTCCATATACATGTTAGTCTTGGAACTTGGAGTACACTTTGACGATGACGCAATGTTTTGATTCCAGCTTTTTTACTTCAGAGTTGAAGAGGCGATATGAAACACATTTAAAACTGAGAAGACTGTGTTACCAGTAGTGGTCCGTCATTTGAAAGACAAAAAATCGCGTCAAATAGGTTGATTCTGGACTTTCAACGCAACGCTGTCATCATTACCTAAAAGATCATGTACGTCATAACTCGACTCCTCTTAGAAAAAAGTGAACCATGAACATGTATTAAAAAAGAATTCAATTGATCAAGCCGGTCAAGCAGGCTCATACAGTTAGTCCCCACCCATTTGACATGTTGCGATTAGGTTTATCTTCTACTAGCAGCTTGCTTTGGCTTTGGATAACTCCTCTTATTCATTCTATTTGGATAACTTTTCACATATTCCATTTCCGATATTTCAAATATTGAAAATGAAGAGAATATTTATAAATATATACACTCCTTTGTATACAACAATGACGACCTCTGCGGTAATTTGTAGAAAAAGGTGTTAAGTTGGTTGACT